TTGCTGTCACTGGAGGACTTGGGTGGCAATGCCCGAGAGCCTTCCCAAGGCTGAGGTGCCGCAGTGCCCTCGCCCACACCTGACGGGTACAAAACCCAGGTGGGCTGGACGGGGGTCACCTGATGGGCATCACTGATAGGGGCTGTCAACCTCCCCCACATCTCAGGAAGGACCGCCGCTACTCAAGGGCTCTTGGATGGGGAGGGGGGGGACGGTTCTGTCCACTTTCATGTTAATCCCCTGCTCTTAATTGGCAGGACTCAAACATTCCCTATAATTACAGAGACAGAAGAAACATGGCTGCTGTTATCACTGTTGATTCAAGGAAATCAAATGCTGGTGAGGGAGAGGGTTATTCCAGCAGGACCCCCGGCGGCCTGGATGTTGTGCATGTTTCGCAGAGATAAGCGGCCTGGCTGTGCGGTGGGCACCCGGGCACACAGAGCCGCGGCGCTCGCCTTCTTCACCTCCCCAGGCAGTCAGCCGCCTTAATTGCTTTGGAAGCCAGGCCTTGTCCCGGGCAGCAGCATATGCTGCATGTGTGCCTGAAGCAAAGATAAAGAGCCACCCTCCTCCTCCTTTATTGAAGTTTAATAATAAAATGGAACTGTCACCACTTCCAATAAATTGTTTATTTTAATTTAGAAAAATAATGAAAACTGGCCACCTTCTGGCACACAGTTGCTGAGGAGCGTCTGCCTGGCTCGGGCCGTCCCGAATCCTCTGTTCTCTGGAGCCGGCTCTGGGAGACATGCAGGTCTCGGTGTCCCTGACATCAACCACGTGCCTCTCCCCGTCTAATAACACCTGGACCTGGAAGGGCAAGATGAGTCATTTTTCAAGGTGTATTAGATTGTAAAGTTGCAAACCAGGAAGATGGCAGGGAGGAAGTTTTGTAGGATTTTTTTAAGTATTGCTTTTAGTGAATATGAAATTCAAAGTCTCCCATTTATCTGCCATCACGGTCTTTCAGATGACTTCTCTTTTCCTGTAATACCCGTGAAAGGTTAGTCCAGCCCCCTTGCATTAGGGGAGAATGAAGGCTCCCAGGCTGATAGAGAGGGCAAGTGGCCAGTCAGGAGCTGGAATTCAGGCCACGGCTCCCACCTGCTGCTCTGAGGCGCTGCTGCTTCCGCTCTCCCACTCCCCTGCAGGAGCTGTCCCATCCCCATTTCACAGGGGGCAGGACTGAGGCCCGAGAGCCAAAGCTACATGCCTCGGCGTCTCATAGCTGGTGAATGGTGTACCAGAACTAGGATGTCTCTTGAACCCTAGTTCAGCAATTGTTTTGTTTTCCAGGGGAGTCCACGGGGTCTAAGTATCAACTGCTTCCATGCAATGATTATAATACGATCGCATTAAATATAACAATTTTTGAATCTAGAGCAGCCACAACTGGGAGTAGAGAAAAGGAAATCCGTACTGATGAGGAGGCCACAGGGCAGTCAACGGGCTTCTTCGTTCCCTTTCAGACAAGGCCCTTGGAGGCATGTGGTTAGGATTCTCCAGCAATCTCTCCAGACCGTGGTAGTGAAAGCACACCCAGGGCATGCTGGGTACGCAGTGCCTTGCTCCCTGTGTGAAAACCATAAGATGCAATGATAGTGGTTAAGAGGGGGTGGAGGGAGTGGCATGGATGAGATGAGGAGGGACATTGTAATGCAGGGGGAGCTTCAGGGAGGTCCTGTCTCAGCCAAGTTTATGTGATGATCGTGGTCATCAAGGTCCTGCCCATTAAGTGGCCCAAATCCTGCCAGATCTGGTCGGTCAAAAAGCAAATCTGTTGGCTCACGTACCTGAAAATGCTAAGCATAGCTGGGTCTAGGGCAGCGATTCTCAACCTGTGGGTCGCGACCCCTTTGGCGGTCGAACGACCCTTTCACAGGGGTCGCCTAAGACCATCCTGCATATCAGATATTTACATTATGATTCATAGCAGTAGCAACATTACAGTTATGAAGTAGCAACAAAAATAATTTTATGGTTGGGGGTCACCACAACATGAGGAACTGTATTAAAGGGCCATAAGGTTGAGAACCACTGGTCTAGGGGCTCAGCCATGTTCTCCTGATGCCATATTGCCCCCTCCATTGTGGGCTCTGCTCCACTTGGCTGTTACCTTACTCAGGTGAGCTCTTCATGGGCAGTGGCAAGATGGCTGCAGGTCGCACCAGCCTCCCTCCCTGATCTGTCATCTCAGTGGAGCACTTTCTTCCCCACATGTCAGCAGAAGCCCAGGAATTGTATCATGTGCCCATGCCTGACCTCGGCCGATGAGGTGGAATTCACAGATTGCATCCCCCCCCTCCCCCCGCTTGATCTGGGAAGGAGGGAGGAAGGTGTTAGCCATACCTACAGCACATAGATTATGAGCGGTGAGGGAGAAGGAAAATCAGAAGAAGGAGAATGGATGCTGGACAAGCGAAAATCACACGTATCCACTGGCTACAAGCCTTAGGGTTTCCTGTGACTGACAGTAGGTCAATGGCTTGGTGAGGAGGAGGTGCTGTGTCCAGGCCAGCGCTGTCTGAGAGAACTAACGATGCAATGGTGGGCATGCTCTTCCTTCCTCACTGTCCCATGCAGCAGCTACTAGCCACATGGGGCTATCAAGCCCTTGAAATATGGCTTGGGAGAATGAGGAACTGAGTTTTTAATGTTAGGTAATTTTAATTGAATTTAATGTAAGTACCTCCATGTAGCTCATGGCTACCTTGGTGGACAGAGCAGCTCCTGGTGGAAGCCAATCAGGGGAGATGTTTTCCTGGAAGGCAATATGGGGTTTTGTGTAAAAGGAGAGTTGGGCCGAGGGTTTAATGCAGCCTGGAGGACCTGGGGGATGAAGCTGATTGGGTTCAGGGTATGGAGGAGGAGCAAAGGCAGCTTGGGTGCGGGGGACATGGGAGAGAAAGAAGCAAAAAGAAAGTTCTTCATCTGTGAGACCATTTGGAAACCCTTAACCTAAGGAAATATTTTTTCCATCTAATATACGGACCAGATTTGTACCAGGAAAAAACAAAATCACAACTGACCTCGTGACAAAAGCAAATTCCATGACATGTTGTTGCAGTTTACCCCTAAGTATCCAGTAATGAAAGCAACCGTTGCCTGAAGCGCTTTCTCCACAGGACACGCAGCTACATATGGATTAAAAGGAAAACTAAGCGGGGCTGCTGTCTTATTAAAAAAACACAATACTGCGTGACCTGTGTGACAGCACACAATGAAATGCAGTTGACAGAAATGACATCAGTGAACAGAATGAACTTGTCAAGGCAGCCTCTGGTCACTGCCGTGGGAGCATGGGGCTGGTTAAGCAGCCTCTGCAAGCAGCATGCTGGGCGTGCGTGGGTGACACTCGCCAATCCTGAGTCCTCTCCGCACAGGTCAGGTTCCAGGTGGTTGTGCTTGTGAAGGTGGACCGATCTGTTCTGATCGCCCTGAGTCTTCTGTGGCCAGGACGCCTGGGCTTCCTAAGACCCACTTACTGCCAGGATTTGTTCACAAGGTGCTCATGTAGGGCGTGCCATGTACTCAGTGTCCTGCTGAGCCCTGAGCACCAGGCAGGAAGAACAGAGAAGCCCAGAGTTTGGTTCCTGGCAGTGTGGTTTTTCTGGTTCCATGGCCTTTATCATTTCTCTCCCCCATCACTCAAGCACTTGACAATCTCCTATACCAGGGGTCCTCAAACTTTTTAAACAGGGGGCCAGTTCACTGTCCCTCAGACCATTGGAGGGCCAGACTATAGTTTAAAAAAAAAACTATGAACAAATTCCTATGCACACTGCACATAACTTATTTTGAAGTAAAAAAAAAAAAAAACGGGAACAAATAAAATATTTGTATTTGCATGTGGCCTGCGGGCCGTAGTTTGAGGACTCCTGTCCTATAGTCTCGGCCACAGCTCAGACACAGGGATGAAGAAAGAGCATTCTATAGCCAGATTGACCAGGTGTATGCCAAGCTCATGGCCAGTACCTGACATACAAAATACAAAAATAAAAAAAATCAGCAGGTGTATATCGGAAAGAAGGAGGGCATTGAAGTGGGGGAAGCTTATGTGGGGAAGAACCTGGGCCTGGCAGCCAGGAGGTGAGTGGGCTTGGGCATGGTGCTGAGCCTCAGTCTCCCCATTTGACAGGTGGGGTGAGGAACCTCACAGGATTGTTCTGAGGACTCAGTGACCTGGTATGTAAGACTCTAACATGGAGCAGGCTTTGATAACCAGAGCTGCTCTGAACATGAGGGTGCGGTTGCTGTGAGGGCCAGGTGGGCTGGGGAACGTCTTGCTTGTGGGTGTGTGAGTAGTCCCAGGGTGAACTTTAAATCCAGCCTTGATTCAAGTTCGGCCTGGGTGTCATTAAAGCTGAATGGCCTTGAGGAGCCCACTGAAGCCCTGGTTCCATTGGCCAGCAAGCCTGCAGTCCATTCCCGTGAGCAGTGGCCTGGTGTTTCCTGAGGGGGCACAGGCAGAACAGCGTCTTAGAACCATTAGCCGTGACCCAAGACCCATCTCTATGACCTGCTCAGATTCTGTGATCAGTTTCAGGGACATATGGCAGATGTGCCACGAGTGGGTGTCACCATCTCAATGCTGATGGCATGCTTGGGGCATTGTTGGGTATCAGGGCATGGTAAGGGAAAAAAGAAAAAAAACACAATCCTAGACCAGGAAATCGCCAGCAAAGGTTTTCCATGAGCGCCCCCCGCTGGTGACTTCCTGCCTCTTGGTGACTTCTCTGATCTGTTTTCCCAACAGACAGGGAGTGGATGCCTTTGGGAAGAGAAGAATCCCCTTTCATAGAAAATAAATAGTTTCAGAATGGGTCCGCTGGAAAACAATGCCAGGCACCTAGTCTCTGTGGACAGGGACTTTGGTTCAGTGGACATCACACACACTCAACATGCCCCTGGGCAGGTGCTGGGCTCCCTCTTGCCCATTTTTTAGGAGCAGCAACGTGTGGGGCAGACACTAATGGGTTTTCTGCTTTCTGTTTCAGCACTTCAGGGAGCACCTGGACAAACTTTTTGCCAAAGGAATCGGGATGCTGGATATCGCTCTGAACGAGGCCTTCAACATTCTCAGCGATGTAAGCTCCTCTCGGATTTGCCTTTCTCTCATCCAACAGACTAGATGGGATTCATTTTAGTTGTCGACCAGCGTTCTGATTAGGCCTGGCTGTCACTGAGCAGTGTCCACGGCACAGGGTGGGAGGGTGAAATGGCCGGCCCTGTGTGAGGTCTGGGGAACCAGGTCCAGTGGGGAGGTCAAACCAGCCCCCTGCTGGTCAGAGTTGGTGGTGCAGTCTGGTCGGACCAGCCATGCTTTTGGACTCCGAAATATCTGGACACCTTATAACGCAGATTTCTTTTCACCTGAGAAACTCTATGTCTTCATAGAGTAGACCCGTGAATGTGACGATGTTCCAAGGTTTAGGGTGTGCTAAACCTCTCCTCCCCTCTCTGCCAGCCCCTTGGAGATCCCCAATAAACAGTATCATAGCCCAGTTTCCAGTAAGTACTGCAGGGAAGAATTCTGTGTGATCAGCTGTGTCTCACACTTTGAACAAAGAGTGTTTTTTTCAAGTAGCACCTGCTAACATCCCAGGCAATGTGTTGGTGTTGGGCAGGTGATTCTTTTCCTTGAATCCACCTGTGTGAAGCTAGAACCACATGCGACTTTTGTGTCCCCGTTGCTCTGGGAGGGTGGTGGGGAAAATGATGACTGTCTTCATCAATGCATTCCTGGATCATTTATTTAGATAATATGTATTGTATGCTTTATAATGTCAGACAAGATGGTAGGGAACAGAATTGGCAACTGTTTGCCTTAATTTACCTTGCATGTTAGGGCAAAGGTCAGCACATTTTGGCCCATGAGCCACATCCAGCCTGCACGTGTGATTGAAATGCAGCTATGCCCACCTGCTTGTGTATTGTCTGTGCCTCCTCACGCACTACATCGGAAGAGCTGGTTAGTTGCACTAGGCGCCACATGGCCCATAAAACCTAAAATACTTACTGTGTCGGCCTTTACAGAAGGTGTTTGCTGATCCCAGTTCTAGTGAGCAAAGACAGATGAGGTATGTTTCCTATGAAGAAGGATAGCACCATGGTGTGAGCATGATGGCAGTTGCTGCTTTATACCGTGAGGCCAGGGAAGGTCTCTCTGATGCGGTGAGGTTGCAGGAGAGACCTGAAGGAAGTGAGGGGGCAGCCATGTGCATACGTCCAGCAAGAAGCTTCTAGCAAGAGGAACAGAAATGCAAAGGCCCTGAGGCAGGGTGTTTGGCATTTGTACAATACAGCGAGGAGACAAGAACAAGTGAGGAAGAGAGAGTGTGCTAGGGAATGAGATCTCGGGGTAGCAGGAGTCGGGTCATGTGGAGCTTGCAGACCCTGGTGAGGATTTTGGCTCTCGCTCTGGTTGGGATGAAGTCATTGGGGTCTGAGCAGAGAATGGCACATAGGGTTTCAACAGCATTTGGCTGCTGTGTTTAGAAGCAACTGTAGGTGGGCAGAGACAATAGCAGGACAGCCATTAAATCATCTGGGTGACAGATAATAATGGCTTGGATCAGGGAGGCAGCAGTTGAGATGTTAAGAAGCAAAAAAATAGAGAGCACTCTTCGTATTTCAAACAGCAGGAGTTTAATTCTGAGAATTGGTTGCACCGGGATGGAAAAGCTGAGACCAAGTAGGGAATGACACAATCCACAGAAGAATGCCAGCAGGAGGCACTCCTCTCTAGGGCAGGAGGGACAACAGGAGGGGGGGGACTACATCAGAGCCTCCTCACTGTGGCTGTCCAGAGGGGGCAGGACCACCAGGGAAAGGCCTGGCATGGGGAAGCTAGTGCTGGGGAGGAGACACAGCCATTGCCAGAAAATGCCACGCCCTTACGGCAGAGAGAAGGGAGAAACCGCTCAGAAACCTGGCTTCTCCCTGGTGTCCTCCAGTATTCTCCTGCAGATGAACTTTGTCAAGACTGCTGGGGAGACTGGGAAACGTGGTTTTCAGGAAAAAGGCGTGGGGTGAAGCTGAGAGTGAACAGGCACTAAATGGGGCGACCACCGTGGTGAGGTGTTGCAGGAGCTGGGAGACCTGCAGAGGTTCAGGGCCTCACTGTGCTGAGCCTCCAGGCAGCTGTGTGGGGCCGGCTGGGCCAGGTTGCAGCATCCAGTCAATACTGCACAGGTCCTTTGTGGTGGTCAGTTATGCCCAGTTCCCAAACTTGACTTGTTCCTACTCAGCTACACTGACCTCTCAAGCCAAGAGTGGGGCCTGATTCTAGACTCCCTTTTACCAATACAGCTGTTGGTCCCCGAAGGCCATTTAGGTCTCAGCAATGGGCCAATGCCACAACCGAAGAGGAGAGACAAATAAGAAGGGAAGGTGCCACACCAGCTTCTTCAATGTAAACCAGCGTTTCTCAACCTGTGGGTCACGACCCCTTTGGCGGTCGAATGACCCTTTCACAGGGGTCGCCTAGGACCATCCTGCATATAAGATATTTACATTACGATTCATAACAGTAGCAACATTACAGTTATGAAGTAGCAACGAAAATAATTTTATGGTTGGGTCACAACATGAGGAACTGTATTTAAAGGGCCAGAAGGTTGAGAACCATTGGTTTAAACCCAAGGCCATCCCTCTCAGTCACCCCAAGGGGATGTCAGGTAGGGATGATTAACATTTATGCAAGCCTCGTTGTTTAGGACAGTGCACTTCTGTTAACACCTTATTAATAACTTAGAAGCATACCTGGCCTGAGCAAAGGGCCAAGCTACACCTTTAAATTCTGGCTTGAATCCTGGATGGATGCCTTCTCCGGGCTTGGAGATGCGGAGCTCTGCCTCTCAGCAGGCTCTTTCTAGAAGCTAATATGGAAAGGACTTGGCACGATTGGAAAATTGGCTCCCTTTTTTTTTTTTTTTTTTATCTCAAAAGCCTCATATCTGCAGCAGGGGGAGGCTAGTTTGAGCCGGGGAGTCCCTGTTTGGAAACCTGCCTGCAGTGAACTTCTGTTTTTTTGCTGTTCGGCAGAGGTGGTGCAGGAGTGAGAGTTAGAAAGGCTCGTCCTGTAGTTATGTGTGTGGCCTCTGGAGTCAGGCAGGCTGGGCTGAGAAGCCTGATTCTGTGGCCTTGAGAAAGCTGTGCTCAGTTTCCCCTTATTTTCCTCACCTGTGAAAAGGGGACAGGAATAGACCCAGCACTGCCTCAGGATTTGTGAGGCCCGGTGCCAAATGAAATGCAGGCCCCTTGTTGGAAAGTTATTAAGAATTTTAAGAGCATGACAGCAGTGTTAAGCCAGGTGTATGGCCCTGAACAGCTGTGCAGATCACAGGCCTATGAAGGTGGTCCTGGTAGACAGAGGTTGAGAAGTCAGCATGGGAAAGCGGTGCCTGGTCCCCTCTCAGCTGTGCTGGGCTCAGTGAGCAGAGCCGTCTCCGTGACCAGGGACACGAGGCTGCCTCAACTCTGCCAGGCTGCCTGTGGTTTCTAGGAGTAGCTCCCCCTCCTGATGCCTTGGTCCTATTCTCTGCCAAAGGGCTCAGGAATATCCCTTTGTTATTGGTGGGGAGAGGCCCTCATCTCCACTGGTTGCTAGTGGAGTAGGCGTCTTGCACATCCTGAGAAAAGGAATTTTCTGAGGCTAGTATGCAAGAATGAGAGATTGTAAAAAATAAAAATATTTCTGTGAATTCAAACCCCTGCGTTACCAAGGTCCCATTTCCCTCAGTCACACTATAAAAGAAGTCCCATTTTGCTTTCAGAAGAGCTAAAATCAAAGCCAGTATCCAGAGTTTCTGTTCCATGTCAGGACATAGTCCAATCCAGGCTAGTTTAGTTAGTGTTTCTCACTGGGATCCACCAGTCCATTGTCTATAGAGGGAACATAGGCAGAAGCAAAGCCAAAGGGACCAGAGAGCCAAGAGCAAGTCAAGAGCATGAGCTCTTTTGTCTGCAGGATTATGTATCTCCAGATTTTCATGGGCTTCAGTGGCCCTGTCCATTCTGGTCAATGATCACTGTTCCCAGGATTGACTGACAGCAAGCACCTTCCTGACGTCAGCCCCACTCACTGTGCACGCACCTACCCTCCACTTTGTCCAGTCCCCTCCCCCAGCAATCTGCAGGGAATGGGCTGGTGGTTCCCTGGGGAGTGTGAAATTGCAGCTTCCTGGTGAAGCTGCCCAAATGACATGCCTCTAATGTCTGGCTTCCCCTTTGCTCCTTTCCTATTTTAATAACTATCTAATTATAATAGTATCACTTTCATCTTCCCCTCTCTTCTTTTCCTTGTCCGGCTCCTTTTCTCTTCCCTTCCCTTCCACTTGCCAGTTTTGTTCTCCAAATCCTCTATAGCAGTGTTTCTCATTGCACGCCCAGTTGAATGCTGACCTTCCAAGATACTCCCACAGAGGTGCTGTGGTCAAGGTGGGGAGGTACACAGTGCACTTGGACATGGTAAAGGCTGGAAGTCCTGCAATGAACCGACCTTTTCAAATATGTTTACACCAGTATTCAAAAATAGTGACCCAGGAACCCTTTATATCATGTCATACCCATAGGATTAGAATCTTGCATAAGTCACAGTCCAAGGAGCACATTCTCAGGCATGGGATCTTTGTGTACTCCAGGGGGGTAGATTGCCCTCCCAACACCTCTACAATCCAGAGACTTCACCACATGGTGGATTTTCCCCCTTGAATCCTGGTGAGAGAAGTATTTTTGAACCAGAGAAACATTCCACATACCTACCTGCTCTGCCTTCACCTGGAAAAATCCTCTAGGGCCTGGCCAATCAGAAGACATTATGGGCCAAATGTAAATCCGGAAAGTAAGAAACAGAAGGAACAAAAAAAATGTTACAGAATGTCCCTACTTGAGGTTGGTTGACAGTTGTCACCATATTTTTTTAGTGCACATTTATCCCATAGAGAAAAGCATTTCCATTTTATCTCTTGCCATTGGGCTTTTAAATAGTCAAACACTGAAAAACACAGAGATGGTTAATCTCTCATGAAAATGAAGCTCTAGCTATTTTCCCCTTCACTGATATGATCTTTACGTGATGTATTTCTCTTCCTGTGTATTATGCCTGCCTTTATAAGCAAATATGAAATAAAAAGTTATTTCTCAAACACACATCTTTCTTTCTCTCTGTCTCTGTCTGTCTCTGTCTCTCTGTCTCTCTCTCTCTCTCTCTCTCTCTCTCTCTCTCTCACACACACACACACACACACACACACACACATACTTGAAATTGTGACTGTGGCTGGAACTTAGAATAGCTCAGAGGTAACTATAACCAAATGCAGTTAATTCTGTTTTGCATTTACCTGCCTTTTGGTTTCAGTATTTGCTCAGATGGGTTAAAGGCTTGCAGTTACTATACAAACAGCTTTGAAAGGAGCATTGAAATACCTTTGTTAAGACCCTTCTGGCTGTTGATCTCTGCTGCCTTCCTTAGATTCTGTTAAGAACACAGAGCCAGTTTGCTACAGTAGTTAGCATCTACCTTGTCATGTGACAACTGCAATTATCTTTTTGGCGATGAATATGATCTTTGCAGTGATTACCTTTAAAATTTTTTTCTTAGCCAATTAAATAAAATTCGGTGACATTTCAAAGACTGTTAATCACAACCAAATGCTTTAAATGTCAGGATGCATTGAAATTTTCTCTGCTAACTGATGAATCACTGAGCTAATTGTAGTTCATCATCAGGCCCTTGTCACTGTTATTATTATGGAAAACACTTTCATCACTCTTGCTATTCAACAAAAAAAAGTTCTAGACAAATATGAAGAGAAGAGATAGTACTCATCAAAGCATTTGAATTTAATTGAGTTCTCCCAAATTCTCCAACTGCAGATTGCTGCAGAGAATACCAAGAATCCAGCCAGAGAGGAAAATGATGTTTTTAAATAAACAGCTCTGGGCATTCCTTCTTCTAGTCTGTGTTATTCAGATGTCTTCATTTCTCCCTCCCCCCACCCCCTCTTTCTTGCCTTTTATTTGAGAGAGTTTTTCCAGGATGTTTTCAAATGAGTTGCATGAACAACATCCCCAAGCTATCCTGTTTTTCACCTTTCTGCACCCTCTGTGACTTGACGCATAGATAACCTTTATTCAGTGGCCTGCCACTGGGTTTATTGAGTGGCTTCAAGGCTGTGTTGGATGCAAGCTCCCCAAAGTATCTCCAGAACAACCTGTTGATAAGACAAGGCTACAAGGCTGTTTTCCTTCCTGCAGTAAGGAACCAAGTGCACTCTGACCATAAGATCCAAGCAGTGTCTCACATGGGAAAGACAAAGTCCTTTATTGAGACTGATTGAAGTCTGATTGAAGGTGTGTCCTTTAGGGAGGAGGAGAAGGAAGAGGCTTGGTTAGGACCCGGTAAGAATCCTAATATTATAGTGTAGGATTGGTAGATGCAGCAAGAGGAGGATTTTTAGATGGGAGTTCAAAGAGTCTAAGGTATGAATTGTCCTTTGATGCTTTCTATTGAAGAGTTGATGGGTCTTTCAGGAAGTTCCTGGAAGAAGCCATAAAGTTATTTGCAATTTTTATCTCTCTCAGCGAGAGTTTTCTGGAATATTGTTATGTCAATAAAGATGGTAGAATAGTAGTTATGTGAAGCTTTGTGGTGTGATGGCTTTAGTTGTCAGGATTTCTACCTACTCATTTGTGTCATGGGCCATGTCTGCTCATTAATTCAAGGACATCTGTCCAGTCTGAGATGCAGGAGTGGCTGCCAGGGGCAGGACTTAAGTGAGGTCAGTGTCTAGTGCACAAAATGTAAGGAGCACTCACTCACTCTCAGGGTGGTAGCCCTGGTAATGCCAAGTGACCCTGGAACCCTGGACAGGATGGAGACAGGAGAAGGAAATGGACGTTTGTGGAGTCCTACCATGTACCCCTATCTGCTCAAGGATCTTATTGGGAGGCCCTAGAGTGTGCTGAATCTGGAAGTGGCTTCTGGAGCTGGACTGCCTGGGTTCAAATCTCAGCTATGGCAGGTAGTAGCTGTGTGACCTTGTTAGCTAATGTCTCTGTGCTTCAGTTTCCTTGCCTTTTAAAATGGGGATAATGATAGTACCTACCTCAGAGGCTAGTAAAGGTTAAATATATACTTATAGCCCAGCATATAATGAAATTTAACCTGTGTTGTAGCAAGCAGGTAAGCATGGTACTCCCATCAGATAAATGAAGAAAAGGACACTGTGAAGTGAGAACTCACCCAGGCACACAGCTTGTGGTGCTGAGATGGGGTTGAGCACTTTCCACTGTCCTGTGATACACCATGCATGTTTCCAGTTGGCTTTGCTCTGTCCCAATGTGGCCTCAAGGCAAGACATTCTTTCCTTCCATTCACCCACGCATCCATCCACCCACCCATCCATCCATCCATCCATCAATTATAGTCTTCTATCAAGTTACTACAACTTCAAACTCTACATCAGAATTCTAAGTGCATGGAGACTGGGAGTTAAACTTCAACTTGAATGTTTTATTAGCTCTTTGGTTCACCAGGAGGTAGCAGCCAATCCAAAAGAAGCTTCTATCCCTTCCCAGTTTCATGGTCAACAGTTCAAACATGCTGGGTGCCATTGTATGTACTGTTTTTTAAAAATACGTTCTTATTGATTTCAGAAAGAGAAAGGGGGGGGGGGGGAGAGAGAGAGAGAGAGAGAGAGAGAGAGAGAGAGAGAGACATCAATGATGAGAGAGGATCATTGATTGATGCCTCCTGCACACCCCCTAGTGGGGATCAAGCCAGCAACCTGGGTATGTGCCCTCAGGAATCAAACTGTGACCTCCTGGTTCATGGGCCAACACTCAACCACTGAGCCATACCAGCGGGGCTATACGCACTGTTGTGTGTTTCTCCCCCCCTCTCTGGAATGCCCTACCCCAGACACTCACTTCCTTCAGAAGTTACTCAAGTGTCACCATCTCAGTGAGGTCTTCCCTGACTACTTTTTCTAAAGGTACCCCTTTCCCATATCCTATTCCTTTTCTCTGTTTTCTTTCCCCACCTCTTAGCTTCACCATCATTAAACACACAATATAATTTACTTATTTACTTTGTTTTTCTATGTCTCCCCAGATAGAAGGGAAGGGATTTTTGTATGTTATATTGCCAGCACTGTGTGGGCTTTTAGTAAATAATTTTCAAATACATGAATAATCTTTATAGTTTATAGTGGATGGAGTTTGATGTCTGAAGGTTAAAGACGTTTTGTGGTTCCCATGCCCTGGCGTTGTGACATCATTGTAGGGTTTTTAAAGAAGGACGTGGTGTTGCTTGGAATTGCAGCATGAATGACATTCATTGAGGGAAGTCCACTCCTGACTCAGGGAAGGACACGAAGCTCTAACAAGCCCAGTCTGGCCCCCACCCTACCTCTCACTGAGGCTGGGACTCTTCAATGTATGTAAAGCTGAAAGCTGAGGACATGTAGGGCTCTGCACACCAGTGGGCACAATCTTGGAATTTCAGCATGCTACACATGCTAACGTGCATAAACTAGTACAAAATGTTACAAACTTTCAGCTATATGTTGAAAACAAACCCTAAATCAAGGGTGCTTAAGCTTCTAATCTGAATTGTTGTGATCCTGACTTTATTCTCTATATGTCCAAATCCTCCTTGATCTTATTGTATAGAACAGCTTGTACCCATTTGACCCATTTAAACCATACTCAGATTTTGAAAGAGATGTTGCCTGGCACACAGCCCGCCGTCCATATAATGTGTCCCTAACGGGCCGTGCCAACTCCTCCGGGTTTGTGTTCTGAGACTGTCTATACCGGGAGGTGAGAGAGGTTAGATGTGTTCACATCTCACTTCCCACCTTATACCTGGTTTTCAGAAATCCCTTCTGTGGTCTGTATGTAGTTCCAAATTGTCAGAGTGTGACCCCCGCGTGGAGAAGGCCTTGTTGAGCAGGTTCTGCGTTGGTGGTGCCCGTGCGCTCTCCTCTGAGAGGCTCCCTAAGCCCACGGCCTCTTGCCTCTGAAGTCTCGCTCTCTGATAAGTTGTTTTATTCTGCACGTACTTCTTTCTGCAGTTCAACCACACGGGACAAGGCAGCATCTGCAGCCAGGCCATCATGCTCATCACCGACGGGGCGGTGGACACCTACGACACGATCTTTGCCAAATTCAACTGGCCAGAGCGGAAGGTAAGTGGATGCTGAGCCGGCCACGAAGTGTAGTCCATGCAGAAGCTCTGTTGTGTGGAAACCTCCGGATCGTCCACAGATAAGTGCCCCGTGTAGATTTAATTGCATAATGGCCTCTGGTTTCTCAGCCTTGTGTTTGTTGGTTCACCGCAACAGAACTGTGGCTTTCCTTGTTCCCAAAATGAAATGTGTTTGGAGGAGAGAAGAGCCCTGTAAAGGCACGTTCAGTGAAAAGATCCGCTGTGACGTATGCTTTGTCCACTTGGGGCAGTTCTTCTCCTTGTTCTCCACGAGCCAGAGTTGCTTGGTGGGTCTGCATTCGTGGATGGTGAGGTCAGCCCCAGCGGCCCTGCGGCATCTCCTGTCTGGTTCTTTGTTGCTACAGCTCCTTGTCGAGCCCTCATGACCATCCAGAGCCTTCTTGCCATCACTCCCCCAGTGCTGTTTCCCACGCGTATCCGAGTATGTTCTCTATTCTAATTACTTCTTTGCTCTCCAGGTGACATCTATTTATCTGTTGAACCAGGTGCTTGGGTTTCAGTGATGGATATTAATATTTTTGGTGCCTTTTGAGTGCTTTAACCCAGAGGTTCCTCAAGCTATTAGCCATTTTGAATTCGCTGGGGAGAGCTCTTAAGTTATGAATACGCAAACCTTCCTCTACACCAGTAGTCGGCAAACTCATTAGTCAACAGAGCCAAATATCAACAGTACAATGATTGAAATTTCTTTTGAGAGCCAAATTTTTTAAACTTAAATTATATAGGTAGGTACATTGTTATTAACTTTATTAGGGTACTCCTAAGCTGGCCTTTGCTAAAAACGTCCTCAATCTGATTGAGGTACGTTCGCTGAGGTCGACCCCTTCCAACTCTCCCATCCACACTCGTCTTGTATACTTGTTTCATTTACCTCCTTTCATTCATCCTCTCTATATGTCCAAACCATCTCAACATACCTTTCTCAATCCTTGACACTACATCTTCTTTCACTCCACAACATTCCCTAAAATAAACTTAATAAACTTTACTGAAAGTTTTAAGTCAACTTTGCACTACTGTACGTGCGCTCCCGCACGTGGTATTTTGTGGAAGAGCCACACTCAAGGGGTCAAAGAGCCGCACGTGGCTTGAGAGCCGCGGTTTGCCGACCACTGCTCTACACCTACTGAATCAAAACCTCTGAGGTTATGGCCCAGGAATCTGTGTTTTCAGTACGTTCCTCAAGTGGGCACCAATCAGCAGATGGGCAGCAAGGGATCACTGTCTTACCTAAAGGGTGGCATTTCAGCAGGGAAATGAGGTCACTGGGAGAGGGCACTAACCTGGGGGCATCACAGAGTGCTCTCCTACCCCCTGTGCCAACAGCCTCGTTCTGGTGGCCTCTATAGGTGCGTGAGACCATCCAGAACAAGTCCATCCTGCTTGTTCTGCTTAATATGTTTAATTTCTGGGAACTGAACTAATCATGCACACTTGTTAAAAGAAGAAACAGAAGGCAAATGACAACTGTGCTCAGCCATATCTGGGGAGCAGGGACCCTGGAGGGAGCGTGAGATGTTGGTCCATGTTCCCTCGCTCACTCTTGATCCCCACGTGTCTCTGATAACATTGGCATCTTACCTCACCAGGTGTGAGTCTGATTTTTAAAGGTTCAGACCTTTGTACAACCTGGTTCCCAGACGGACAGCACCTCCTTCCCTGGGGTTTACCCTTAGAAACAGCCATCATTTCTGAGGCTGGAGGGAAATCTAGCTGTGCTGGGCTTACTAAGAGAATGTAGGGCTCCGACACGGCACCTGCCTAACTAATCCAGTCAGAGCCAGAGCCAGTGCCCAGATATACGTTTCTTGGCCCATACTTTGCTAAAATATTGCCAGTTCCTGATCATCATTTAAAAATCTGGCTGTTGTATATACAATTTTTAAGTTTTAGTTTTTCTCATCAATGGATACACTTGGCACTTGGGAGCCAACATTATCCTATGTCAAACACACACACACACACACACACACACACACACACACACAGAAAAAACTGGCTGGAGCTGAGAAGTGGCTGCTTCCTTAGACGGCAGATGCATGCTCTGTTTGGCCAAGACCCTCACTGCTTCATCAATTCCTCTGAGCCCACTTCACCCATATGCTTTTCATGCCCACAGGGATGCGGTGCTGGTCAGCAGGCACTTGCTGTTTCACAGGTGGGGCTTGCATCGCCAGCCTTGGGGGACTTGTTCCTTTCTCTTGGGCCTGCCCTGAGCTCGCCCCTTTCTGCTCCAGCTGGAGGCCATCTTCCATTGCCTGACCCCTAAACTTCAGACTCACTCAGAATTGTCCTAAGGAGCATAGCCTCATGGCCAGGACTACTGTTGTTTCAGGCCTGTTTTTCACCCTCACTGGCTTGGTGAGTCCTTGAGGACAGGTTTTGTATCTCTGAACAGTCCTACCACCATGCACCATATCCTTGTATCCCAGCCCCACTGAGAAGCGTGGCCTGGTCACCTAGCCTAGTACTGAGATTCTGTCCCCTGGTGTTTACATGCTGTATAATCTCCTCACCTTGATCGTGAGTGACACCTGTGATTTGATTCTGACCAATAAAATATGGTAAAGATGAGGGTGTCCCAGATGTAATCAGGCCTCAAGTCATAGATTTTGATTTAATCAGAGGGGTTTCATTGAGGGTGGGCTTATTTAAATGCAAACCCTTAAAGAGGGCCTGGACACTCCCTAATGGGCAGAGACACTCTTTTTGCTAGTTTGATGAAGTGAGTGGCTATTTGGAGAAACCCTGTGACAAGGACCTGAGGGCAGCCTCTGGGACCTGGGGCATCCTCCAGGTGACAGTCACAAAGATCTGGGCCCTCACTCTTATAGCCACAAGGAGATGTCTCCTGCTGACAATGAATGAGCTTGCAGGAAGCGTCTTCCTTAGTCGGACCTCCAGATGGAAACAGCCCAGTCAGTATCCGGACTGCAACTTTGTGAGGCAGGACCTGAGGGCCCAGCTAAGCTGTGTCCAGACTCCAGACCCAAAGACACTGAGATATCAAATGTGTGTTCATTTAAGCCATTACTTTTTTGGTAACTTGTTATGCAGCAAAAGAAGCAAGGGAAAGGCAGAAAGGAAAGACAATCCTATATAATAAAAGCCAAATATGCAAATTGACCGAATGGTGGGACAACTGGTCATTATGATGCACACTGACCACCAGGGGGCAGATGCTCAATGCAGGAGCTGCCCCCAGCCCACGGACTCCAGGCTAGCCAAGGCAGGTGCCAGCGGGGGCCCCCCTATTGCCCCACCGGTCGCCGCATAGATCAGCCCTGATTGCCAGCCAGGCCTAAAGACCCTACCTGTGCATGAATTTCATGCACCGGGCATCTAGTTACTTATATAGCAATACTATAAACATCCAAAACCTAATGGCTTCAAATAGAAATTTATTATTTCTTGCAATTCTGTGCCTTAACTGCATGGCGAGTCGGCTCCGCATGGTGCCTGGTGTGGTCTCTAGTTCATCTGGGACCGTAGCTGGGCTGCCTCCATTGTGTTAAGCACATGGTGCCTAACTCTCCAGGACCAGCTGTGAACTTTCTCTCCTCAATATAGTAGCCTGGACTTCTTTACAGTATGGTAGCTAGGTTCCCAGACAGGGAGAGGGGGAGGAAGTAGGGAGCAGGCCAGAGGAGCTCTTGTGGCTATCTAACACCTAACCAGGGCTTTGCATAAGGCAACTGATTAGTAAATCATTTTAGAATGAGTGGGAAGAAGGAATGCATTGCTGGTAATTTAACTCTGAATCCATGAAGGCAGCAATTGCTGATGCAATGTGTCCCTTGCCAGCATTGTATTTCTGAGTGCAGAAATGAGGAGCTATTTATTCATTTATTGGGTGCCATTTACCTTTGCCTGATATCCATTGGTTTGGGGCTTAATAGCAGCTCTTGTACACTTGGAATAAAATATGCACTTCTCAACATGAAAGGGACTCATTCCAGGATCTGCTCAAGAAATAAACCTGCCTACATTTAAATTAGAAAAACAGTTATACCTGCCATCTATGTAGTTGTTCTTCCAAGTGAACTATAATAATAATTTAAAAAGCTCATGCAGTTATTTATCATTACTTACCCTGATGTGCCAGGTAGCATGGATAGTAAGAAATGGCAAGGAAGGCCCTAGCTGATGTGTTTTGGTTGGCTGGGTGTCGTCCTGAGCACCAAAGGTTGCTGGTTCGATTTTAGGCCACATACCTGGGTTGTGGGCTTGATCCTCAGTAGGGGGCACACTGGAGGCAGCTGGTCCATGTCTCTGTCTCTCTCTCTCTCTCTCTTTCTCTCTCCCTCTCTCTCTCTCTCTCTCTCTCTCTGTCCCTATCCTCTCTCTCTTGAAATCATTAAATATAAATCATTTCATAAATATATGAAATGGTAAGTGATTTAAAGAAAGGATTGCACACCAGGCCAAATCTGATCCATTGCCTACTTTGTGTGGCCTATGAGCTATGAATCAATGGTTTTTCACACTTTTAAATGGTAAAAATAAAAGAACCTCAAGGAAAATAATATTTCAATATTAATGTGAGAGGTATATAAAATACAAAGTTTACTGCCCATAAATAAAATATTCTTGTAACACAACCATCCGCATTTGTTTACACGTTGCCTATTGTTGAAGATTTGTGACCGAGACCCTGTGACCCACAAAGCCTGAAATATTTACTATCTGGCCCTTTAAGAATATGTTGGCCAACCCCTGATCTAAAGGCATCAACAGGGTGTTGTTGGAAGTCACTGAGATGCCCTCGGAATTGTGTGCATTGGCTGAATTCAAAACGGTGGGGGCAGTTTCTCCCGACGTTCCCATAGTTTTTCTCTACTTGAATAACTATACTGGCCACATACTAAATGGTGGGGGGTGCAGCCTTGATGGCAGATACTTCTCTTTATGCTATGGGTATGTCTCCTCCATCTGTGGAGCCATCCTTTCAGCTTTTTG